TTTTTCGACGAAATTCGACAAGCTCGGGGTTGCTTGGAAGTTTTAGGTTTTTTTTTTTTTTTCAAAAGTGCAACTTGGTTGCACAAACCAACCGAGCCCTCGTCCCGGTTGGTTTGTGCCAACCCGTGCTTCCCCCTCCCCCTCCCCCTCCCCCTTTTTAATTTATTTATTTTTGCTTCCTTCCTCCCTTTATATATTTTAGGTTTAATTTTTTTTTTTTTTGCTTCCTTCCTTCCTTTATAAATTTAAGGTTTAACTATTGCAATTTTTTATTTAGGAATACCCTAAATAAAAAAAAATCATATTTTTTAATTAAATAAAAAATTATAAAATTTTGAAATGATTTTGTTCTATCTACCCATTGTGTTGCGTGGATAATTTCAAAAATTAATCATCTTATTAGCATTAATTAAGAAATTTTTGTCCATTTATTAGTTTTTATAAAAGTTTATTTATTAATTATAACTTTATTTTTAATACAATATTATAAAATATATATTTTTAAAATTTTTTTATTCTTAATTAATATTTTGGTTAAAATCAATCCATAAAGATGAATAATTTTTTTTTAACCAAAAAATTTAGAAAAAAATTAATTAAATACGAAATTATAATTAAAAAAATTTTAAAATAATTTTGTTAAATTAAATCCACATTGTAGAGCGATCAATTGACTAAAAAAAAAAAATCTAATAGAGTGATAGTCTTCAAGATAAATCCCACGTCAGAATGCACGTCAGAATGCCTGAGGATGATGTGATGGTGATGGGGGAGAAACGAGAGCCCTCCTCTACTTCTACTATTTTTGGGGTTTGGTATAAAAAATAGAAGAAAAGGGTAAGGTAAGATATCCATGAGAATTAATCAGTCTTGTACCGTCCTATCCTATCTATGCTTCTATATTCGTAAATTTTGGGGACTCAGAAGCATTTTTCTCAAATATCCATTAATTGTGGTATATATGATTGATGAGTGGGACACAGAAAATGCTATACTACTAATTTTAGCCTCTTGTTAACTCAATTTCTTATCATGCCAAGTCATTTTCCCATAGACGTCCAATCGGCTTTCTTTCAACATAATGAAGCCAATTTTGAATCCACTTACACTTTGATTGCTGTTTATCTATAACGAGCAAATTAACGCTCTCTAACTTGACCTAAATTAGATTTCTGTATTTTTTTCCTCCATCTTTAAAAAAAAAAAAAAAAAAAAAAATCATGATACCATCATAAGAAGATAAGCCCAAGACCCTCATAATTAAGCTTTGATAAGGGTCAACACGAAAAGAACTGAAAATAATAATTAAAACAAAGATTCAAACTTTTGGGTGTGAGCCCAATTTTTTCCACATAACCCAATTATGGATTCTTGCTTGTGCAGTTAGAAAACCTCGGAAAGGAAATTATGTTTACACTACTTATGTGCACGAAAATGGGATAATTCATTACGAATATAAAAATTTTCAAATTTTTTCTTAATTTTTTTTTTGAATATATTAATTTTTTCAAAACTATAAATTGAATATTTTCATTATTTTTTTTAGCTAATTGATGACTCGTTCGTTATTCTTATAATATCAAATTATAATTTTATTTTTTTCTTAATAGAATAGATGAACTTTAATTTTTTTCATTTAAGTATATTAATGTTTTTAAAAATTATCAATCAAATACTTATGTTAATTTTTTTATTAACTAATGACTTGTTGAATACTAAATTATATATTTTTTTACTCTTTTGTTATAAAGAACTTTTTTTTCAAATTATTCTATTATTTTAAAGTAAAAAAAGATAATGTTTTAGGTTAAAATTTCAAATAAACTAAACTCAATTAGTTTTGTTGTGAAAAAAAAAATTAGATTTTGAGTCTGAAAATAAAAAAAACACGAATGTGCAATTTTTCATGAAAAATATTTAATTGTATTTTTCTTTAATTTTCATTTTCAAACCTATCTGAATTTAATTTGAGATTTTATGGCTAAAAATATGTTTTTTTAAAAAAATTTTTAATCAGTTTTTGAAATGATAAAATAAATTGACAAGAAAATTTCTTTCAACAAAAAGAAAAGAAAATTATAATTTTGAATTCAAACATATCATTTATTAATGAAAAAATTAATGAAAATACATAAAAATTATTGTTATTTATTTGGTTATAAATTATTATCTTAATATCTAATATACTAATTATTCGTTGATCACGAGTAACAAGTAAATAGTTATGGTGCTACGGTCGTCGATTAGTGACAACTCTACATAATAAAACGCACTCATAAATATGTTGCATATTCTTTTAAAACTCTATGATGATGTGGACGCATTTAATATCGGTTATAATTTATAACAGCCTACATGTCTCCCATTTTCTCGACCAGAAAAACAAACAGTAAAAATGATGAACGATCACAGGATCCATCGGACCGTCAATATAACATCTAGTTTTGGACCCACAGTTGGTGGGCCATTATAGATATACCTGGACAAGTCAAGTGGCTAGATTAAAGTTGGTGGAGGCCAGAATGGCTTAATTGGCACATGTAAATCCAAACGTCGAAAATACCCCCACATATGGCAATCATTTTAAACTTGAAAACTGCCCTCGTCTTGATCATCTAGTATACACATACAGACGTCCTTTACGTAAAAAGATGAACTGCTTTTACCATTTTAAGTAAAAGAAGAAAACAATGACACCATACAACCAAATCTAATCTCTTTTCGTTGCATCTGGCTTGTAGTAATTTAGCCTTTAGAGATTGATTGATTGATTTCTTCCATTCTTTCTGGTACAAGAGATTGTTTGATCTAGAAAGTGATTGATGAGGTCCCATTCGCCACACCAGCAAACCCAATGAATAGGCAGACATGGGATCAATACTCTGCTATAAAGAGTTGAGTACGTGCCTGTAAGCCCTGGAGGACTTCAAGAACCATTTGTCATTAGCTCAGAGTACTGCCTATAAATATTTTACAATCGAGCCTACTATTGCCTTTATCAAAATACCCTTGAAATAAAACTTTACTCACGTAATTGCCACTGTCTTGTTTTTATATGGAACTCTTTGCTTGCACACAAAGACAGGCTCGATCGGAGTAATATACATTTTTTGGCTTGAAAATGATGAGCTCAATCAACCAAACGTTTGTTCTTTACTAGGAAAAGCAGCTGTGGGAGCTATTTAAATGAGAAATGGACAAGGGTTTAATGTACTTCAAATTACGAGAAAGCCACTGAACGGGGACAAATTGAAAACGTTGTCTTTTTTGTCTCGCTCGTCCTTATCCATTCCATGGCACGTAATTAAAATATTGTCTTCAAGCAAAGCACATGACGGTCTACGCTAAAAAAACAAATATTCAGTTTTCGTTGATCCGTTAGGTCGCATGTTGTTCACCCAAAGGGGGTAAGCTAAGCTAGGTGATGAAAGAAGTTTTTTTCCCAAACATGATACTTCTAGATAAGTAAGAATCTTAGGGTAAGTAGATCTTCATGACAATTTATTTCTATAAACAAATAAATGTATTTGTATCAGTATGTATTGTTAAAATTGCTTTCAATCAATATTTAATATTCAAATTAGTCTGAAAATATTTCTGATCATTGAAAAATAAAAATTATGCACACATGTTGTCGAAAACACTTTTAGAATCGGAGAAATTTTGACAACTAGCGGTATATTTTTCCTTTAAAACCTTGAGTTGGAATACAGTAAACATAATTTTTTTTATTTTTTTATTTTTGTCCTCGAGTTTAACGTAGTCTCAAATATTAAAATACAGAGTTTTCATTTATAACTTTTACGACAAGCCCAACCCATTGCTAATTAAAAAAGACACGTATAGTATATTTACAACTTTTACACCTTCACTTAAAGGTTGTGGGACAAGTGAATTTTTTTTTTTTAACCTTAAACAAACAAAATCAAACACGCACATGTGAATATGCAGATTGCTATACATACATCAAATCAATATATAATTGTTAGCCGGAAAAGGCACAAGCCCACTTACAGAATCCAAGTGACTAACTAGTAACAATATCAGACTACTTCAAGGATAGGTAATTATTAAAAGAAAAAAAAAGAATATTAAATGTGTTTTGCCGATAAACCGAACTGCCTGGCTTTTTTTACGTAAAATACTAAACAAGTATGGGTACTAATGTCTTTCCGTTCTGGTCTTTCGAAAAGCTGCCAGAAAAAATATGCAGGAGATATGATTAAAATCATTTATTTACGATTTTTTAACCATAAAATAAATATATTTTCTCAACAAAACGACAAGCACCGCCTAGTCCGACTAGTTCCGACAAATGTCAGCAGCAGCATAACTTGACACGTGGACGGTCGGAGTTGATTACGCAGGGCAGCAGGAGAGACTCGTAACACTGGCTATAGGCATTAGCTTTCTTAACTATAGTTAAATAAATCCAAATGGTACAGGTTCGACATTAACCATGGTTAACTGGCGCCGCTTTAACTCGATTTTATTTTATTTTTTTAATTTGCTTTCTCCACTTCATTCAAAATTCCTCTCCCCTCTTGAATGTTATCTATCTCCCTCCGCACGCACCCCTCTCTCTCTCTCTCTCTCGGAGTATGAGTGAATTCAAGCAGCCGCCTTTTGGGACCATGAAACTCAGGGTTGGGAGTCACTGACTGAGTCAAACGGTGCTTCATTTCCCTTCATTGTGAGGGAGAGCTAAAGAAACACAAGCCCAGAATTTTTCTAAACATAGTTCATTTCTTTTTACTCTTGAATTCTGTAAGAAATTAGAATCTCGGTATCCAAACTCTGGGGGATTGGTATCCTGGTGATTTCCAAGAATTCATTTCGTTGATACTTCTAGTTAGGTGTAACCATCCGTTTTCTCTCGTTCTTTGAGATTGTGAATTAAACCCTAGTATACTATTACCACCGGCCATCTTTTGTAAGCTTAGAGACTTGGAGAAGTAGAGAGTTTTGAAGAGAAAGCTTAAGTTTTTGAAAGAAATAGAATGGTGGATGTTGAGGATTCTTCAAGAATGACAGTATCTACAGCTTCTGGAGAGGACACAAGTGTTTCTTCTTTTGGAAACCAAGGCATGCCACCCTCTGTTACAGTGCCACCACCAAAGAAGAAGCGAAACCTCCCGGGAATGCCAGGTAATTAACTTATAAACACCAATCCCAAATTTCGAAACTTTTATTTTTGTAAGCTAATTTTTATTAAACTCTATTTAATTTCTTCGTTTTCAGATCCGGATGCTGAAGTGGTTGCGTTATCACCAAAGTCTTTATTAGCTACAAACAGATTCGTGTGTGAGATCTGTAACAAGGGCTTTCAAAGAGACCAGAACCTCCAGCTTCACAGACGCGGCCATAACTTACCATGGAAGCTAAAGCAACGAACCAACAAAGAGCCAAGGAAGCGTGTCTATGTGTGTCCAGAGCAATCTTGTGTACATCACAGCCCAGCGAGAGCTCTTGGTGACCTTACTGGCATTAAAAAACACTTCTGCAGAAAGCACGGTGAAAAAAAATGGAAGTGTGAGAGATGCTCAAAGAAATATGCTGTTCAGTCTGATTGGAAAGCTCACATGAAAACTTGTGGCACTAGAGAGTATAAATGTGATTGTGGCACTTTGTTTTCAAGGTAAGCGTCAAATAATTTTGTTTTTATACGCTATTTTTTGTTTTTTTTTTTTAATCGATTTCAATTTTTAATTATGTTGGTTTTGTTTTGTAATATAGGAGAGATAGTTTTATAACACACAGGGCATTTTGTGATGCGTTAGCGGAGGAGAGTGCAAGGGCACAAACCCTAGCAATAACGGGAAACGAAGGGAACGGTTGTAATGTCAAGTGTGTGGTTGCTTCGCCACCGCCTCCACCACTTACGCCGTCTACTAGTGTGGTGTCTCCGGGTTTGTCAGTTCAAAGCTCAGGTAATTAATATGGTCTAGCTTACTTAGTACGTACGAACATTATTAATGCACCGCCTAGCTAGCTTGTTATGTAGGTCAAGACAAGTATTTGACTTGCCTAAGATTCATGAATCATGGGTTATTTTTTTTATTGTTTTCTTGTGGCTGTTGATAGAATAGATTGAGGTTTATGGTTTTGTGTTTGGTAAATGGGTTTGGTTTTGTCTCTTATTGATGTCGTTCTCGCGTGGATGTTAGGCTAGAGAATATTAACAAATGTGGTAGGTGTGTGAGAGGGAGAGAAAGTTCATGTTGTGTTTCACGGGTAGCTGCTGCTAGCATAGTCAGTAAGTTATAAGCTCAAAGATCGAAAAACTACACATTAATAAAGTGAGACTGAGATTTTGAGAGAAAGGACTCCATAATTGCTTCATGCTTTTTCTCCTAATAAAACTTTGCCGGTTCAAGCTGTTACCTTTCATAAGCACAACTCTCTTGTTCCTCCAAAAAGTACCATCTTTTTGCTAGCATATCCCTCTCTCTTTGGGATCATTGGACTGCATTTTTCTTTTTGCTTTTTAGTCCAGTTTCTTTTTTACTTTGGGTTAATTTTCTTTTTCTCTTTGTTTGTTGTCACAGAATTGGCAGAAAATCCAATCGGACTTTCACCACCGACACCAGCAACTACATGCCTGAATGCCTCAGCAACAAGCACAAGCTCTACTAGCTCAACCAGTACTGTATTTGCTAGTATATTTGCATCTTCAACAGCAGCACCAACACAAGCACCTCCATCCTCATTTTCAAATCTGTTTTGCGGCTTAGCTCGCTCTGATTGCCCCGCTACAATCCCAACACCTAGAGCAATGGACCCCCCATCCCTCTCTCTTTCACCATCTCTTTACCTCTCCAACAATACCTCCACTCTCTTCCCCACAGACCAAGACCATCGCCATTACACATCGTCTCCGCAACCAGCCATGTCTGCCACTGCATTACTTCAAAAAGCAGCACAAATGGGTGCAACTACATCCAATCCATCATTTCTCCGTGGTTTGGGTTTACCCCTTCAACCAATCAAGACAGCAATGGCAATCAATGGGATGTGAAGCCAGAGAACAATACTTCTTTTGCAGCTGGGCTTGGGCTTGGACTCCCCTCTAGTGAAGTTATGATGGGTTCATCTTCATTGTTTGGAAACAAGCCGACAACACTCGACCTTCTTGGGCTCGGCATGGATGCTGCTAGTTCTGCTTTTCTAAATTCCTATGGGACTGGTGGCTTTAATGTTGGAGCAGCAGCTGTAGCAGCAGCAGCAGCCGCTGCATATGGTGGTGGAGGAAGAGAGAATTCTGAAGAAACATGGGATGGTGCTCCTGAGAGAAAACCTAATGGATCCACAGCAGCCTCACTTTAGAGCTCTCTCCATCTAGCTAGCTTCACTTTTCCCAGGTATTTTTGTCAAAAGGTGGAAAAGCTGAACACTCACTTGCATCACTCTTAGCTTTTATATATATATAGATATATATAATACACCTTTGTGTCTCTAACCCAAAGGTCCAAGAAGGAGAACTTTCTTTTCGTAGTTTCTTGATCATATACTCTTGTTATCTACTAGTTTGTATATTCTTGGGCTCGATCGCTCGTACGTAGTTGCTTTTCTAGGCAAGTTAAAAACCATATCTTTTGATCACAGAGGAGTGTACAGTGAACTTGTTACTTTCTGCTACTAGTAATTAATTAATTAGCAAAAGTTTAAATATTTGTTTCTCTTTCCATCAAATTTTGAACTCTAGTTAAAAATAAAATAAAATTTTGGGTTACTCGAAAGTTGATAAGGCTTTAAGTTTGGTCGAGATATTGATTACGAGGCTTGAAGCTAAGCAGGCACGCTCAAACATTCAAGTCTGCTGAAAATGATATAACTCCATATGAGGGGTGGAAGACGGTTGCCTCTTTAATTGAATGATAGTTGTACTTCGTAAAAGGCCGGTCAACTGGGGTCATGTAGTCAACAATGGTAACTCTGTCTCGTCATCACTGTTCTCCTTCCTGCTCTGTCTTCTAACTTACACATTTATTATGGTGAGTTGGCAGCTGCTTTCGTGTCATGACTTGTGGCCTTGTTTGTTCCCAAATTAGGGAAGGTGGCCCTCTTTCTGCATTCTGTTTTCGCGTTTCTGCTCGGTTCGTTTGAGGATGGACCTTCACCCACGGCAATTCCAAGAAGAAATTAAAAACTGATCAATTATTTATCCTCACTGTCATTTTCACCAAGCATGTGCCTTAGTCCAATTATGTAGACATCAAAATCCAATTATTTCAAGTGGAGAAAAAGGAAAAGGAAAAAGTTACCACCCTTTTGACTTAATAACGCATGGATTGAAGTTCCAATGTGAATCCGTAAAATTTTCGTTTGCGATATATTAAGGTGTCCCATCATTGTGCTTTTGCAAAGTTTGGCATTTTCACACTAATATACATTTATTACGAAGGAGAAATTAAACATCGTATAGGAATGGGGACCGTTAATTATGTACACTTTATTTGCTTCAAGTGAGATATTTAATAGGAGATTAATTCAAGTATTTTTTAGTTAATTTTTAGATTAAGAATTAAATTTATCATTTTTCAAACTAACATTTTAGCTTTTGATTTATCATTAAATTTTGTTTTGGGTTTTTTGGATTATTTATAAATAATGAGAATTAAATTTTAATCTGAATTAAATTAAAATAATTTTCTTTTCCATAGACCATCATTTGATGATATACCACTTATCAAAGTCGTTCCAGAACTTATAAACAATGGATTTTTGCTTGTTTTCCACCACAATTGACACCGTACGCATCCCATGATTTCAATTGTTTTCAGGCAGAGTCAGCAAGAGGAACTAACCAACATTATACAAACATAAAATATTCCAACTTTCAACTACCCATTTGAATCTGATCACCAAATAAATAAAAATTAACCACTACTATCACTTTAAAAGCTCCTTTTACTCTCGCTCTCTCTCTCTCTCTCTCTTGTTCTCTTTAGATTGGGTTTGGATTTACCATGCCTTCTCTTCTCCTCATTCTGATCCTCTTGCTGCTTATTTGCACCTTTAAATTTACACTCTCAATGATATGGGTTCCTCTGAGAATCCAAATCCATTTCAAGAAGCAAGGTATAAGTGGCCCAAAATACAGTCTCATCTTCGGCAACTCGGCGGGGATCCGCCGTTTATTTGCTGCTGCAGCTGAGTCAAAGTCAACGTCTATCAACCACGATGTCCTTCACCGTGTGGCTCCATTGTACTACGAGTGGTCACGCAAGTATGGGAAGACTTTCCTCTACTGGTTTGGATCCAAGCCCAGATTGGCTATGTCCGATCCAGACATGATTAAGGAGATTCTAATGAATACGGATGGGTCATTTGAGAAGATTCCGTTTAACCCGCAATCGAAAGGTCTATTTGGAGAAGGGCTTGTTGGGCTTGATGGTGAGAAATGGGCGCGTCATAGGAGGATCACAAACCAAGCTTTTAACATGGAGCGAGTTAAGGTAAGCTTGCACGCTCACCAATTCTTGTATTGGGCTTATTAGCATTTCTTACACTGGGCCCTAATATTTTGGTTTCCTTACTCGGCTTACATGAACAAAGAAAACATGTTTTTTTTTCCTACGACGAAGGAATCTGTCTAGATTAATTTATTTTTTTTGAACAATTTTAATGAGGTATTTTTAACATCAGATTAGTGCATTGAGAAAATAAATTTCTCTGAATGCTCCCCTAAAATTCGAACTCATAAAGTAAGAGAAGAAGCATACTTTCTTCATCACTGGACCAGCCCTTTTAACAATGGGAAATACGGAATCACAAACTCATCTAATCATGGCAAATTTTTGCAGTCCTTTGGTTCCTCACAATCTTTGCAAATTTGATCCAAATTTCATAAAACCTCTGACACCAAAATCTATCTGACAGAGTCAGGTGCCAGAAATTGTGGCAAGCATCACCAACATGCTAGAGAAATGGCAGAGAATAAGAGGAGGGAGAGAGGAGTTTGAGATGGATGTGCATAAAGAACTTCATGACCTCTCAGCAGACGTTATATCAAGAACTGCTTTTGGAAGCAGTTATGAAGAAGGGAAGCGCATATTTACATTACAGGAACAACAGATGCACTTAGTATCACAAGCTCTGAGAAGTGTCTACATTCCAGGATTCAGGTGATTACTTTCTTTTCATTCGGCCACAAGTTGTAATCCTCCTAAGAAAAAACAGGTTTTCGTACCAAAATGATATTGTCTCTGCAGGTTCTTGCCTACAAAGAAGAACAGAGAGAGGAGGAGATTAGAGAAGGAAACTCGTGAAGTAATAAGAATGCTGATCAAGAATAACAGCAGATCAAGAGAAAATTCAAGGAATCTACTTAGTTCACTCATGTCTTCATATAAAAATCAGGACGGGAAGGAAGAGAAATTGGGGCTAGATGAGATTATAGATGAGTGCAAGACCTTCTATTTTGCTGGAAAGGAAACTACTGCCAATCTTTTGACTTGGGCGCTTCTCCTTTTAGCATTAAATCAAGATTGGCAAAACAAAGCAAGGGAAGAAGTGTTTTCTGTATTTGGAGGGAATGATCTTCTAGTTGCAGAGAATTTAAATGATCTCAAGATCGTAAGTTTAAAATATTAGCCTGAAGGAATTGTAGGAGTGCAATTTTGCTCTTCTACATTAGGTGGAAATTCTTGATTTACTGATTCTAAAGAAATTTGTTTTTCCTGGCTTCTTCTCTTGCAGGTCAACTTGATACTCAATGAAACACTTCGGCTTTACCCTCCAGCTGTTATGATGATGAGGCAAACAACTAAAAAGGTTAAGCTGGGGACCCTGGACATTCCTGCTGGTACTCAATTCTATTTATCCTTGACTGCTGTCCATCATGATACTGATATATGGGGAGAAGATGCCAATGAATTCAATCCTTTGAGATTTAATGAGCCTCGAAAGCACTTGGCTTCATTTTTCCCATTTGGGTTAGGCCCCAGAATTTGTGTTGGTCAAAATTTAGCCATTGTTGAGACAAAAATTGTCCTTGCAATGCTCCTCAAACATTACTCTTTCATAGTATCCCCAACCTATGTTCACGCTCCAATGCTCTTTATAAGCTTGCAGCCTCAATATGGTGCACAGATCCTTCTCCGCAGGATTGCCAATTGAAGATTTGTTAGCAGTATTATTTGATGTTCCTGTAAAATAATTACAAACCTGAACGATTGTACATAAAAAAAGTTCTTGTCTTTCCACACCCCAAAATTTTTATCTGCAAGTTTCAAAAATTTGGTATTTCTTGAGATATGAGAACTTGATTGGTCCACTGGGATGAGAGGCTCATTGAATTTTTGATACATGGTAATCGGCACTATTTTTTGCTGTCCATTTAATTGGTCATTTGAGTTTAGTCATATGCAGTAGTCTTGCTCAATTTTCCTTAAGACCTGGATTATGCCATTGCACGTTCAGAGCTCTCCTTAAAAAAGTAGTAGAGATCGGATGCCCTTAAAACATGCCAAAACTCCTGCTGGTTGTTAGCGTGTCATCTAGTTCAAAAGAGGGGGAAAAAACAAAGTTGTCACATATACTCTGGGTGACAGTATTCAGCCCATGAAGTTCAAGTCAAATGTTCTGATGGCAAAAATAAGTGTGCCTAGTTGTTGAGATGACATTAATTATGTTTGTGGTCTGTCTTAATCTTAGATTCTATCTACTAAACCTTAAATTTATGTAGTGGAGACCATAAATCAAGCATGGAATCTCAATTTTTTTTTTCTTTTTAAGACAACCCTTTTGGACGGAGCTGATGCCCTTAAATTTTGATAATCTTCAAACCATATTCTCTTCCGTGCTTATTATTCATAATTTTGGCTCAGAAATTATGTAATTGGCCATTTATAATACTCCCCAAATCACGTGCTGATCAGTCTTATGGCACAAATTAATCTATAAACAAAGAAAAAGAATGATAAAGCAGATGCAGGGGACCCCAAAAAAGAATGGTTTGGATTGAGCCATAATTTCTTCTTTTTATGAAAACATGCTATGCACTATACAGTCCAAGCAGTGAGCAGAGAAAAACATCGACACTCTCTCTATAGAGATCTGTTCATCAACAAATTCAGCAATATTACCTAATCTCTCCCTTTTGAAGCCTTGCACCATGCTACTCATATTAGTTTCTACTACCATCTTGGTTATTCTTGTAGCTGTTATGAAATTTGTTTACTCAATAGTCTGGGTTCCTTACAAAATCCAACACCATTTCCACAAACAAGGCGTAGGCGGTCCTGGCTACCGTCCCATATTTGGCAACACAGCGGAGAGGCGCCGCCTATTGAAAGAAGCTCTATCAAAGCCAATAGCTCCACCATTTCACCACAACATTCTTCCCCGAGTTTTTCCAACTTACAGCGTGTGGTCTAAAGTGCATGGCAAGACGTTCTTGTACTGGTTTGGAACCAAGCCCAGGTTGGTTCTATCCGACCCAGCCATGATTAAGGAGGCTCTGATGAATACTGGTGGGCCGTTTGAGAGGATGAAGTTCGACCCCGTGACAAAGCAGCTCTTGGGAGACAAGGGACTTATGGAGCTCACGGGTGAGAAGTGGGCTGTTCATAGGAGGATCAGTAGCTTGGCCTTGAACATGGAGCAAGTTAAGGTGAGTATAAAAAAAAGATCTGTTTGAAATTTTGTGTATTGCAACTAATCATGACCCTATATTTATTTGGTATATAAGTTTAAGAAATTATAAGCACGCTGAGCTTAATAAATTTGATATTATTTTTTTATCAAATAAACATCATATATATAATTTAATAATAATTGCACTATTAAAAATTAAATTTTAACTTAACCTATTTTTTGAAGTATTATTCGAAAATTATTTTAATAAAATTATAATTTAGTTATTGTTGCTAGATTGGAGGAATATATATATTAGGAAATAAAAAAAATATAAAAATTATTAAATTTTTTAAATTATACAAAGTAAAAAAAAAAGTAAAAATATAATTCTAAAACTAAGTTCAATTATTACTTAAATTAAAAATAGGTCTAATAAAAACTGTATCAATTGTATCTTTATCATGGACCCAATTATATAACATGACCCAAAATATTAGTCTTCTAAGCTTAAGTTAAAGGCTCATATATCTTGTCTAAACCTAGAATTTATTTGTGCAGCCTCCTCTCTCTCTCTCCCCTAAAAACAAGTTCTTGCCCTCTTATTCCTTGAAACCGCCTCCCTCCATGTCTCTTCTTCCTAAAAAATGTGGTTGATTAAAAAAAAAAAAAAAAAACTGATAAAAAGGACCAAATCACACGGCAGTGGCAAGTTAGTAAAAGTTGAATTTTTTTTTTTTTTTTTTAAACACCGTTACATAACGACAAGTAATGATATTATATAACACTAACATTATTTACCATTATATTCTTTAAATGGTAGTAAATTATAATCTTGAAATATCTATAATACCGAATAATGACAACAATGAATGATACATTATCTAAATGAGGTTATTTAAAACTGTGTCCCTTTCTCCTTGCTCCTTTCTGACGACTAGCTTCTCCATCGGGGTTATATTGGATGGTGAAATTATTAGACCCCATTGTATGATGGGCCCGATTTGCTTCAAATCACAATGGGCTGTTCCGAGGTCCAAATCCAATATCGAAGGTTTCTAATAACACCAGATCGTTAAATAGGTCCGTTTCTCAAAGTTCAAAGTGACAAAGCAAAATATGGAATTTGCTTCAGAAATATTAGCGTTCATCTCAAATTCCCCCTCTCGTTTGTAATTAAAAATATACAGATACGTGGAGTTTGCCAAGGACCCATTGACCTGACCAAACATTACATTTCTTTCCCATTCCACAGGGGTGGGTGCCAAAAATTGTGGCTAGTATAACTGACATGCTTCAGAAATGGGAGGAAAAAAGAGGAGGAAGAGACGAATTCGAGATCGATGTTCACAAAGAAGTAGAAAACCTCTCAGCAGATATTGTTTCCAGAACAATTTTTGGAAGTAATTTTGAAGAAGGAAAGCGTATTTTTGAGCTACAAGAAAAGCAAATGCACCTTGCCTCGGAGTATTACTCCTCCGTCCCTATTCCAGGGCTCAGGTTATTAGAGTCATTTGGTATTATTTCGTTTTCTATTTTTAAAAGTCAAATTTGAAAAAAAAAAAAAAACAAAAAAAAACTTTTGATTGTTAGAGTTTTTCAAACCAAACAAAATGGTTTTTAAAATTGAGCAAGTAATTGTTGGTTTTGCTTTTTCTCAACAAACAAAATTTCTGTTTCTATTTCTGAAAATTTTGAAACAAAAACAGATAATAAAAAGTGAAAATGATACCAAACAACTCTTAAAGTTAATTATGAGATGGTTTCTGATGAGTAATTTTTAGGTTGCTTATGCTGGTTGATGACACAGGTATTTGCCGACAGAAAAGAATAAAGAGCAGTGGCGATTAGACCAGGAAATTCGCGGATCAATAAGGAAGCTAATCGAGGCAGCTAACAACAGGGGAAAAGAGAACTCTAGAAATTTACTTAGCTTGTTAAATTCTTCCTATAAGAATCATGATGGTGAAGAAGAGAAATTAGAAGTTGAGGAAATTATTGACGAATGCAAGACATTTTACTTCGCAGGAAAGGAAACAAGTGCTACTGTTTTAACTTGGACACTTATCCTTCTAGCAATGCATCAAGACTGGCAAATCAAGGCCCGTGAAGAAATAGTTCGTGTTTGCAAAGACAAAGAGCATCCAACCTCTGATATTCTTGGTCAACTTAAGATTGTGAGTTCAATTAATGAATGATTCATGTATAATCTCCAATTAAAAGCAACTTAATTAGTCTTCAGAATATATATATATATATATATATATACACACACACGTTCCTTTTTACGTTCTTAATTCTTTTTCCTGACCAATATTTAAGAATCTCAGGATTTGTCCGAAGGTTTTTTTAAAGACACATTCATTCTCTCTAATTTCTTGCATGCTGTTGCTGCTCCTTGTCTGAACAGATAAATATGATTCTACACGAAGCAATTCGACTTTACACTCCGGTCACAATGCTGGCGAGGGAGCCATGCAAAGATGTCAAGCTTGGGAGCCTTCACATTCCTGCTAACACACCACTCATTATGGCCGTGATTGCGACTCACCATGACACTGAGATCTGGGGGGAAGATGCTGACAAGTTCAATCCTCAAAGATTTTCTGAGCCTCGAAAGCATTTAGGCTCCTTTTTACCATGGGGTTTAGGCCCTAGAACGTGTGTCGGACAAAATTTAGCCGTTGTTGAGATGAAACTTGTTCTAGCTATCATCATTAGACAATTTTCGTTTGTGGTATCCCAAACATATGTTCATGCCCCAGCCGAATTTCTAACCGTACAGCCTCAATACGGTGCGCAGATCCTCTTCAGGAAAATCTTAAACTGAACATTGGCCGGTACATTTTGTTTAGCATGGATTGGATCATATAAGTATTATCTTAACGTGGAATTTTATTTTCACATAAGCTCTAATGTCATTTTTACTGCATCGTTTGCTTGGCTCATAAATCACAAGAGATACGTATAGAATATACTTTTCAGTACAAACTACCACACTACCAAATACTAAATAAATTATTTGCATATATATATATATATATATACACACACACATGCGGGTATCTTTGGATTAACTCGAGGGAAGCTCAATTCGCCATAAAAATACCGAAAACTTCTTGTCTCGTTAAATAAATAGATCTGTGATTAATTGATTGTCTTATAGAGGTAAATTAGTGTAGTTTCTACGTTGTGCGGATAACTTTATAAATTTTGTTTTAATATTTTAATAATTTTAATAATTTAGTTAGCAAAATCATAATTATAAATATTAATTGTGGAAAATTTAATTTGACATGTATTTTATAGTATTTAATATCACAGATGTTTTTATTTTTGACTTTAAATATATTTTATAAATATGTTTGATTTTGATTAAAAAAAATGTAATTTATTATTTATACTAAAAAATTTATAATTGAAAAAAAAAGACAAGAATCAATATATTGAAAGGTGCTCGAGCAATGTTTATTGGAAGGATGCATAATTTTAGTAAATGAGTCCATACAATTGATTAAAAAACCTCATTATTCTCAACTTGATAGTTCCATTTTTTTTTAATCAACATTTTAAGATTACTTTTTATTATTTTAGATCTAATAATAAATCTGCATAGAAAAATGATAAAATCAAGCAGCAAATCATTTGAAGCGTATATGCTACTTTAAAAAGGTCACCTCATCATTTTTCTCATGAGTGTCCTGTTCTTCAGACTGCTGCGTGTTCATCAGTAGATTTAGATTTTTCATCTGAGACTTCAACTTCCTCACCGAAGTCTACAGCAAAACTTCCTACTGATTTAATTAACAATTTTAGAACTGAGTCAGGCCACTCAATGTTATCAAGAATTCTCATTTACTTTTACTTTTTCTGCAACAAGTCGAGATCCTTTATGTCATACTCTGCAATTATGGTATGAATCAGTTGCATAACATAAGGAAGATACGAAAAAGGAATTGAAGAAGAAAATTGATCCAAGAAAAAATCATTTCGTCTTTCTAATCTTATACCTTCATCAATCATCTTAATGATCTCAACATGCAATTTAGGGATTTGGATTTTATTCGGGGAGAGAGAGAACTGGTTTGACAATGGAAAATGGGGTTTGAGAATGCAAAAGAATTATTTGAATTTGGAACAATGGGGCGGGGTAAATTTGTTTTCTTCTCTATTTTTTAATGTTAAGTATTAGTTTATTAATAATTTTTTTTTTTTTTTTTTTTTTTAGTTTTAGATGAAGAACTCGCTTTCAGGATCCATCATGTCCCATATTGATCAGTCATTGGTTGTCGTTAATAATAATGTGTCACGTGAGATGAATAGTTGATAAAGTTATAACAAAGAGTTTGAATCAACAAATCTCAAAAAGTCAAAGGTCTCAATTAAAAAATTCGAAGAATACATGGTTTAAATATAGAGTAAACTCTTATCATAACACTAATCAATAAGATAATCACACTACATTCAAAGTTTGGAAAACAAAAATTAAATCAAGAATTAAAAAATTAGGCATCTAAATACCAAAATCGAAGTTTAGAGCTCAAACCGAACAAATAGAGACAAAGAAGAAACACATACTTGACTAGGATGGCAATTTGCCCCGCCCCGCCCCGCGTCAATTTTCCTCGATCAACGCAAGGATTCCTCGAGTTGACCGGGAACGAGGTGGGGCGAGACACCCCGCAAGCGGGGACGGGGCCGGGATGGGATTTGCTCGCCCCGCCCCGTTTGCTCCATTTTTTTTTCATTAAAATTATAATTATACCCTATATAAAATCTATAATTTGTGACTTTTAGGGTTTATTTTCTATATAAATTATCATTTTGTTTGCTATAATTTAAAATTTGGTAGTAAAATTGGATAAAATAAGACGAAAATAAAAAAAATAATTTTTGTCCCGTTTACGCCTCGTTTGGGGCGAGGATGGTAACAGAAATTTTGCCTCGTTTAAGGCACGAGGTGGGGATGGGGAAAATTTTTTAGGGGCGGGGCAGGGATGGGGATCCCCGTTCGAGGCACATGGTGGGGATGGAGAAATTTTTTAGGGGTCGGGTGGGGATGGCGATCCCCATCCCTCGCCCCGCCCCATTGCCATCCTTATACTTGACGCACGGGAGCGCATGTGGAAGAGGAGATGAAACCTTACTCGGGCATGTGGGGACACAATTAGGGTTGAAAAGTGGTGGATCGGTGGCACCCGAATTGTCTTCTCCTTCGATAACAACGGTCCGGCGTGTCGCTTGAAAAGGCTACTAGGTGGCGGCGTAAACTATTACTTCTTTTTCCCTTTTCTCTTCATTTCAATGTTTTTTTTTTAGTTGCTAGGGTTTTTTGCTTATTGGTTTCAATTTTTCTTGTTCGAAATTTGAGCAAGACTTGGACAATCGACCTAGCCTAGTGGGTGACTAAGTTAGCCAAGCCTTTTTTTATATCTTTTTTTTTCTTATTATTATTATTTTTAATTTGAGATGATAACATATCTTATTTGTCACACAATGACCTCTCGATGTTCGTAAAAATAAATGTGTTTGAATAGTAGGATCGCCATTTAAGGAGATGCTCGCTTATCCGGACTTTGTTTAACCTTATCATTGTAAATCCTAAGCCTTATCTAATAGTGCTCAAGTTTATCTTTCACCAAAATACCTTACGTACTTTTAAATTACACTTATTGGCCCAAACTCTTTTGGCCCAACTTATTATCAATTAATTTAGACCATCCAAATAAATTAGGTTAAGTATTTTAATGAAGCCTACATTATGAAGCAATTTCCTAAATTATCCTTAAATCTAAATTAGAAAACTAATTTTTTTTTAGGTAATTATCTTTCAAATTTGGAACTCGACTTCCGAATTAGGAAACCGATTTCGAAATGGGAAACTAACTTTCCATTTTAGAAAATTGACTTTTCAAAATAGGAAACTTTCTTAAAGAAAAAACTTTCCAAAACAAAAAACCTTTTCCAATAACCTTTACTTCTCTTTTATTATGTGAATGTTTAAATTTATACATGTGACTCAATAAGCTTCTATATATGTTGGTAATGTATCAAAAAGATGAACGACACATCTTTTATCTCTTGACACATAAATCAAAATTGGTCTCTAGCAAGGCATCATGACTACCAAAATCTCTAGTGAGGATTAATTAATCCATAATTATCTTTCACGAGAATGATTTCTATACAATTCGAGTCCTCATTTCTTTTTATCACAAGTGTGATCTCGAACTTGGTTTATTATCTATTTGATTATAATCACACAAGTTTTCTTCGATTCCCAAATGCCTTAGCTCTCAAGTAAACCAACTATACTCTACTAGTATACTTTTACCGTGGCCATATATTTTTTGAGTAGAAATTTATCAAAGTGTAATGTGATAACTCCTCTAGCATATAAGGAATACCATGTCCTATTTTAGTCATCCATCTATCTCCATTAGATTCATAGTGTACCTAATGAATCACTCATATGCAGCTATTTACTAAGCCTATCAAAATGAATGTCAAAGTACATAAATACTCTAATGAGATAATCATGAGGACTTCAAGTCTAAGAACAATCGATTATACCCATCTCGTATGAGATTCTCATAGACAAACTAAATGGATTCTCATGGTGAGTCACGTCCAATGATATATTCTCTAACATTAATCACCCGATTGCTTATTTTGGTATCACCATGTCAATAGATGTGAAATCTCTTATTGCTATCTTATAGAAGAGAATAGCACTCATAAGTCGGTCTTACTACATGTTGTCAATATCCAATCTTGATAATGCTACGACTTAGAAAATTTAATGGTATCATTTAAATACTTTAATATTTGTTTCATATCCATTGATTAATCAATAATGCAATACATATCATATAGACTTATATCTAATTCTATCAAATTATAAATAACAAAAATTAATAGAAAAATGTTTTTTAAAAATGCAATGTTACAATTTACCAAACCATCCAAACAAGACTAGATCTTGGACACCTATAATAACAACGTCCTTTTAAGTCTACATAGTTTGTCACATCCTTCTAAATTAACATGGTCTATCACGTCTTCTAAAATTAGAATGGTCTATCACATCTTATAGAGTTAGAGTGGTCCGTCACGTCTTGTAGAGTCGAATGGTCCGTCATGTCCTAAAATCAAAGCGATCCGTCACGTTTTATAGAACTAATATGGTCTCGTCATATTTTTCTAAATCAACATGGTCTCGTCATGTCTCTTTAAGTAAATATGGTCTATCACATCTTTCTAAATCGTAGTACTCTATCATATCTTACAGAGTAAGAGTGGTTTGTCATGTGCTAACAAATCGAGTGGTCCGTCATGTCTTACATAGTTAGAGTGGTCTATCACATCTTACATAGTTAGAGTGGTCCGTCATGTCCTATCAAATCAGAATGGTCTATTATGTCCTATAAAATCAAATTGGTCCGTCATGTCTTATATAGTTAGAATGATCTATCACAACCTATTAAATCGAGTGGTCTATCATGCTTTACGGAATTAGAGTGATTTGTCACTTCCTTCTAAATCATAGTGGTTTGTCACATCTTGTAAAGTTAGAATGGTCTATCATGTTCTATTAAATCATAATAGTATGTCATGTCTTGTAGAGTTAGAGTGATTTATCACATCCCGTTAAATCAAAACAGTCTTTCAACTCTTGTATAGTTAGAGTGGTCCGTCACATCTTGTCGAATTAGAGTGGTCTATCATATCTTACGGAGTTAAAATGGTTTGTCACATCTTGCTAAATTAAAGTGGTCTATTACATCTTACCAAATTAGAGCGATATGTCATATCTTTCTAAGTAAATAT